AAGTTTGAACTCCTGAATTTCAAAAACAAATTTCAGAACTGATTAAAAAATCAGTGGAATTAGAGAAAAAATATGCCTTGGATGCTTGTCCTAAAGGAATAGTAGGGATTAATGCTGAGCAATTTAGCGAGTATGTGGAATATGTGGCAGACCGTCGTTTAGAAAGAATTGGCTTACCAAAAATATATTTTACGCTTAATCCTTTTCCCTGAATGTCACAAAGTGTTGATTTAAATAAAAAAAAGAATTTTTTTGAAACCCGTCTGACCGAATATCAAACTGGTTCTTTGGAATGAGATGAAGAAAAGACTAAAAAATAATTTAATATTACTTTACTCAAATAAAATGTTAATTTTTTTAATTTAGTTTTATAATCTAATTTTTACTAATTATTCAACAGTGAAGTATTTTTTTAAATAAGTATCTTTATTAGCCTCAGTCGTTTTTTCATCCATCGCATTAAGACTATCAGCCCTAAACTCTTTACACTCTTGGCAAATCCTTTTAGATTTGGTTCATTTTATTCATTCTGAAACATTTTCTATAATAGGAACTTCCTGAGTAGATATCTTATTTAATGTTTTTTCTTTTTCTTGGCAACAAGCCAATTTGTTTTCGTTTATCATTACTCTTTCCATTATAAGATATTTTAATCTACTTTACCAACTTTTTCTCTTCAAATCATAGGCTTTTCTTTCCTTTACTCTCAATTTATACCTGTTAGGTTCATTAGGTTTTCGACCCTGAGTAGCATAATGAAAAATATTGGCTATGGCGGCACCTACAATCGCACCACCACCTATTCATAAAAGAATGTAATTGAGGAAACCTTCTTTCTTAACAAAGTATCCAACTAGACAAGACACTGCTGTTCCTAGCCCTGCTCCTATTCCAACAGTAAACTGATGTTTCTTATTTCAACTCTTAAAGATTTCTAACTCCTCATGGTATTTCTGAAAGCAAAAACCACACTGGATCCAATTTTCACTAACTGAATGCCTTTTATCTCCACCTCGGACACCGCCAGCACCAGCTCCAACACCACCTGAACCAGAAACTACTCCACCTCCCTCAGCATGTCAATTGCCCTCAGTAGCATAATCACGAGGAGTATAAATTGCTTTGCCATGATAAATTGGAACATGGCAAGTTTGGCACACTCCTAGAATGGAACTATCTTTGTGTTTTTCCTTTAATTTTTCTTCCAGTTGTTTTCTTCTAAGTTTTTCCTCTAACTGTTCGATTGTTAGTTCTTCATTTTCGTCTCTCTCTCTCTCTCTCTCTCTCTCGTGTGTGTGTGTGTTGAACCTTTTATATCCTTATTATGCTTATTCATATTATTAGTTTTAGTATAGTTCAAATCAAGGGGGTAATAGTTTTTTGGTAAAAAATTATACTATATTGCTACTAGAAAGGGAAAAAAAGCATATAAAAGAGGTTATATGAAGTCAAAAAAAGAATTAAAATCACAACTCAAACAAAAACCCAAAACTCAAATCAAAAAACCTTTACAAGTTAAATGTTTCAAGTGTTCTGCTTCTTTTGAAGTTAAGTGAAATCGGGGTCAAGGCAAATATGTAGAAAAGAATAATTGAGGCTTTTGGACTGGAAAAGAGAAAGACAAAGAAAAGTATATTTGTGATAAATCCCTTGTTCAACTTTACATGAAAGACAAATGAGAATACTTAGAAAATATTACTGATGAAAGAAAAAGGGTGCTTCTCCGAGCTTACATGTATAATCGCACTTTGCCTTACAAACCTAGTAAAGATAAAGTTTAGTTCTGTTTTACTTCCTCTTTTTTTTTGTAATAACATTAATTCTAATTATAGTTCTTGTTAAAATATTAATTATATGTCATCAAAAGTAAAATTAAGTTTTCAATAAATAATCCAATTTAAAAAAGAAGGAATAAGCCAAAAAAAATTAGCTGAAATTTTAGAAATATCGTAACAAACAATAGTTAGGTGAAAGCAAGAAGAAGATCCTTTTCATAAAAGAAAAAGAAAACTTAAAGACTATGGAAGTATTCCTGAACTTCTGGCATCTTACATTGCTACTAATAATACAATTACTCAAAATGAATTAGCTGATTTAGTTTCTAAGGAGACAGGTCAGGAAATAACACAAAAAAAAGTTTCTTACATTTTGAGAAAGAGACTTAATTACACCCATAAAAAACTTACCTATCATTATATCCAGTTAAATGAGGAAAAAGCTAAGGCATTCAATAAAGAAATTAAGCCTTTGCTAACTGAACATCCCTTCATAGCAATAGATGAATGTTCCTTTTACCCTAATCTAGATCCAAGATTTGGTTACTCCTTGAAAGGCGAAAGGGCAGTTTCTAAAAAACCTAATAATCAAGGAGAACATTATACCCTTTTGCTTGCTGTCAGTAATTTAAAGAAAAATGGTGTAGTCCACTGAAAATTAGTTAAAGGAAGTGCTGATTGAAAAATTTTTTATGACTTCTTGGAAGAAATAAACCCTATCGGAGATAAGAAAAATTATTTGCTAATGGATAATGCTCGGATACATAATGCTTCTAGAAAAAGAAAAGAAGCAAACTTACCTAGCATCGAGGAACAAATGGCAAGGAAAAATATAGAAGTAAGATTTATTACCGCTTATGCCCCGATGCTTAATCCGGCTGAATTATGCTTTAATAAACTTAGACAGAATACAGAAAGACAAAGAACTATTATGAAGGGATGAAGTTAGCAATTGAGAAAGCTGTTGAAGAATTGAATAAGCAAGATCTTTCAAAAGACTTCTGGCACTGTGTAAATTATTTTGACAAGAAAGAAAAATCAAAGGAGAAAAAGTCTAAAAATAGATTAAAGAAAAATTAACATTTAATTTGAGTAGTGTAATATATATGCAAAAAAAAAAAAAAAAAAAAAAACAATAATTTTAATAGTTAGCGGGCTAATTTTGGTGGCGGTCGTTGGGACGATTGCTTTTTTCGTTTGATCCAAAAAGAAGTTGGTTGTAAAACAAGAGCAAAAAGATAAAGAACTAACTAATTTAGAGGAGAAAATTCAAAGATTACTAAATGAATTGAGTTCTTTAAAAAGTGAACTTGATAATAATGACGGTATCTCTGTTGCTAAAAAAAGCCAGTTAGAGAAAAAACAATCTAATTTAGAAATTCAGATAAAAAATCTTTCTAGCCAAGAGAAACAAAACAAATCGACTATTGAAAAGTTAGAGAAAGAAGTTGAAAAGTTAAAAAAGAGGTTTGAGAATGATAAAAAACCTGATAAAGTTCCAGAACCAGACAATAAAAAAGAAGAAATTGTTAATTACAAATACCCTTTAATAGGGGAAAAAGTTGGTTATTATGTTTTTGACAATATTTCATCAAATAGAGACCGAAAACTTTTTTATATTAATCAAAATCATCCTCAAATCAAAAAATTATTAAGTCAAGAAAAATTACAAGAGAATAAACAGTTTGCTATCCGCTATGGAAAGATTGATAAAGAAAGTAGTGGTAAAGTTGTTTTAATCTTTAATGAAGACAATCAAGAATTAGAAATTATTGAAGTTTAAATTATTTCTCCTTTAAAACAAGTCTTGAATTAATTAAAGAATGATAAAGTTAGGAAAAAGGTGCTAAAAAGGTCTAATTTTCGTTCTCATATAGTTTTCTATTTATTTTTTGCATTAAATTTCTCTTTTGCTTATTTTACTATTCAAGCCTTTAAAAAACAGCAAAAAATAAGGTTATTTGTTATATGTCGTTTTAAATTGTCTTTTATTTTTATTCCTCCCATAATGGACAATTAGGTTGGGAATAAATGGTGATTTTGGTTTAGGTTGGGTTTATTTCTCCTGTTTTGAGTATGGAAGGTGGGGAATAAATACTAAAAGGAGGGAAATAATATCTAGTCATTTAGGTAAAAGGGTATTAAAAATACCCTTGATGATGAAAGGATACCTACTAGCATTCTTCAATGTAGAAAATTAGCGAAATTAGTCGCGATCCGGTTAGAGCATGATTATCGGTCGGAATGAATATTTGTAGGAAAAAGGGAAATGCTTTGTTTACAGCAGTCAAAAAGAGGACGTTAACGAATGGATTATTGAATTTTTGCTGAACTCGAAAGAAGAAAATAAATTTTTAGAAGTTGGCTAACTAGCAATTGACCCCAACTTAGAAAGCAAAAATTATAATAATGTTAAATTAGGAAGACTCCGCAAACAAAATTATTTAGGCGAATATGAATAACCATAAATGAAATATAACAAAAACTATAAAAGAATTTCGTAATATAAGAAACACCGATTTTAAGTTTGTAAGGGGAGGGATAAATATAATTGTTGGTGAAAATAATGTAGGTAAGACAAATATTCTAGATTTTTTATACGAAGAAAACAAAAAGTGAGATGATTTTGAAGCAAATGAAGAAGAGTATCACAAAGAAAAGTTTTCGCAAGGACTGATACCTTGATATAGAGATTCTACTTATTTACTTGAATTTTTTTTTCCTCGACGAGCGTTTTCTATTTATCCAGATGACTTAGGTCGCTCCTTTTTTCCTTTTAAGTTTTTAGATTGGTGGTTTACAGCCCCCCTTTCTCAGCATCTGGTTCATAAATCTCACCCAAAATTCAAAGAAAAACCAAAAGAGGCTAAAATGACTCTTTCTTATCGAATATATTAGTTTGATTTGACGGCTAGCACTTCATTTTTAACTGAGGAAGGAAAAAAAGATTTGAGATTTAACAAGGTAAAATTTCGTAGTTGTGAATTTTATTACGGAAAAAACGAGGGAACAAATTTAGCTCGCGAATATTTCATAATGGAAAGTGAAAGAAAGCCAAAAGAAGAAATACAACCATGAACACCTAGATTTGACGATAGAGAAAACTTTATTAAGCATCAGGACAGAGAAAAGATTATTTATTACGGATTAAACCAGAGTGTTTCTCACCCTTTGGACAATTTAGGATCAGGTTATTTAAAAATCGAAGCATTAAAGTCTTTGATAGAAGATTTAAAAAGCGAACAGCAATTCCAGGAAGGAGAAAGATATCTTAACAAACACAAAAAATGAAAAAGATTGGCTTATCCTAAACTTGTTCATACACCAATTTTGCTAATGGATGAGCCAGAAGTTTTTCTCCACCCTTCGCTTATTTCTGAATTAGCAAATATTATCAAAAAAACTGAGGAAAAAAGCATAACAACTATTTTTACTACTCACTCTCCATCTCTCTTGTCTCACTTCGTTAACGAACTATTTAGCAGCAGTGGAACAAATTTAATAGTACTGAAAAAAGATGAATCTGGTAAAAAAAAACCTCTGTATTTTAGTGAGATTATAGAGGGAGTTAATAAAGAAGCACATAAAATATGGAAGGACTATTGCCTTTGCTTTAAGGAAGAAGCGGAAAATAATAATAATTTCTATTACGATAAATGAAAAGTTCTTTTAAACGAGCATACGCTAAAAGTTTTCTTTTCTAAAAAGATTTTGTTTGTTGAAGGTATGACGGATTACATTCTTTTCACCAGCGAATTTATGAGAAGAGAAATTCCCGAACTTAGGATGGTTGAGGTAATACCTATTTTTGGAAAACTCAACTATGTATTTCTTAGCAAACTGTCTCAAAAAGTAGGCATAAAGTATAGATTTTTATTAGATAAGGACAATCATCTTATAGAAAGAGCCAAAAAGATTGAGAAAGGGGAAATTAAAGAAGGAGTAAAGTTAAAGAACTGTAAACATGAGCCACAAAAATGTACTCGAGAGAAGGTACACAAAAATTTTTGGGATATTCATACTAAAGGAAGATTAGAAGAAAAGGAAGAAGATATTATTTATGATAGCGAAGGAGGGGAAATTGATTGATTCAAAGATAATGTTGAACATTTTTTAGAAATTGAACCTAAAGATAAGTTTATGGTTAGCAAGGAGTCATTAATGTTAGGCAAACTTGGGTTTCTAGACGAGTTGAAAAGAGATAAACGAGAAGACTATAAAAAGTGAAAAGAAAGAGTTTCTAGATTGAAGAAATTAATAGAAAGAATTGCTTAATTTATTTAAAGCCTTTTAAAAAACTAGAACTTCGCAGCGAGCCCAACCAGTAAGGCAGAGTTCAGGCCTTTTTAAAACCAATTATTACCAAACTAATGAATTTTCTAGAAAGAACGACTGGGGAAGAAACATATAAACATGACTTATTTAACTTAAAATATGTAATTTTGTTGAGGAGCTTTATTAATCACTAAAATTTAAATTTTCCCAATCACTTTCTTTTTCATAAACATACTCATTGCTTTTATTTATCTTTCAGTTTGGATGCCTTTCAATTACTATTCCGCCAACTAGTTCAAAGTTGTATTTTGACTGTTTTTCCTTAATTCATTTCTGAAGTGCATTGCTTTTATTCGCAGTTTCTTGGCTTTTTGCCGTGCCACCATTTTTTGTATAATAAGCTTTGCTTCTTGTTCTGACAATAAAGTTGGGACAGAAGAGTCTGCTTTTCTTTTCTTGAGTATAAAAATATTCAATCGCAAACGCATTTCTTCCATAAATTTGTTTGTTTCATCAAACAACATTAGGTTGTGATTCCAAAAATCTTATAAACTTCTTCTCATTTTTTAGTCCTAAATATTGTTTTCTATTATAAAATTTCTCATAGACATTTTTATTTATATCCTCAATTTCCTCATAATCTGCGGTAAAACTGGCTTGTTTTTCAGGTAATCATAAATTAAAGACTTCTTTTCCTATCTCCTAATTTTAGTTCGATTTCATACTTTTTTCTAAATTCTTTTAAGTATCGGTAAATTATTTTCACAGTCTAAAACCACTTGTTCTGGTTCCCTTTCTCTATCTCAGACAAGACCATATTTTTTGAGTTCCAATTCTTTCTCTTGTTTCTCAATAATTTTTAGCAATTCTTTTTTAGAAAAGTGGCTGTATTTATTCATAGCCTTATATTTTAATTTTACCTCAAATCATAATCACAATGCATCGCTGTAAGCAATAAACTTATATCTTTTGATACTAAAAATAAATTAATGAGTCAAGAAACAAATCATAAAGAAATCCCTAAACTTAGTAAAGAAGTAATTGACCTGATAAAGGATTTTCCGAACTACTATATTTATGACAAATTATGAGTATCTGGCCAACTAATATGAATCTGACCATCATCACCAAACCCTGATTTAACTGAATCCCAAAAAGCTCTAATTGAGGAAAAAATAACAAATGATGAATTAAGAAGAAGATACAAACTTTATGGATTGTGTCCAGAATGTCAACAGCCGAATACTTATGCAACTGAATACAAACAAGATCTATGGTGCCAATCTTGTAACTCTCAACGTTTTCAAGAAGAATTTGATAAATGAACTAGCGGAAATAAAGAAATTGACAAATTCATCCAAAAATCTCAACAAGGAGCAACTATTCGTGACCAAGTTATAGAGTGAATACCTCCAAATAGGCTTAGAATTGACAAAAATTTTTCAGAAGAAGGAGGATTTGGCAAGGTGTATAAGGTGGAATGATTGGATGGATATATTACTAATTGAAATATCAAAAAGAAAGAATGAGAAAGAACGCAAGAAACTCACCTCTTGAGTGGTAGATTTTTTGCTATAAAGGTTTTAAAAAAAATTCTCGAAATCTCCAGCAATTGACTCAAGATATGTTTCGTGAAATTCGTTACTATCTAAAGTTTGCAACTCAACGAATCGTGCAATGCTTTGGCATTACTAAACATCCCGAATCTGGCGATTATGCAATAATGCTGACTCACACCGGAGAAACTCTAAGCAGTTACATAAAAAGCAATAAGTCATTAAATTTTAAAAGGAGAATGATTTTACTCAATTGTATAGCAAGCGGGTTAAATTCGATTCACGAACGAGGATTAGTACATCGCGATTTTCATGATCGCAATATACTAATTGCAAATCACCAAAGCGGCGGCATTTATCCTTACATTATTGATTTAGGTTTGTGTCGAAAAGAAGATGAAAAAGATAGGAACGAATACTATGGATTACCTTGTTATCTTCCTTTTGAACACTTTGAGTATGGTCAATACAAAAGACCTTCTGATGTTTATGCCTTTGGTATAATTGCTTATTTTCTATTTACTGGCGAATTTCCTTTTAAAGGGAATTATAACTGGGGACGAAAAAAAATTAGATGAAGAGTAATTAACGATAAATGGCTAAAGTTCAAAGAAGATACTAATCTGCCGTCGTTGCTAGTGGAATTAATTAAATTGTGTTGTGATCGTAATCCCTTGAATCGTCCTTCAACTAAGTTCTTAGAAAATATCACAGAAAGGTGGTCAAAGGATGTTGGATTTTATGGAGAAAAATATGTTAATAAAACGTCTAAATTTTATAAACAATATGAAGAAATGGAGAAAAAAGAGAATAAAAATTACAATTATTAAGCCTCTATTTTGCTTATTTCTACCAACCGCTTCATTTTTATTCATGAATACTTATGAATAAATTTTATCTTTTTTTTCATTCTACTTTAAAAATTAATTAAAGAAAGCAAATGGTACAAAATTCCTTTCAAACCCTAACCCAACTCCTCCAAAAAGACCAACGACTAGTAGTAAACGGCAACCTCGCCAAAAATAAAATTATCGAGTTGGCACTCCAACTAGACACCGGAATTTTAAAACTGCTTAAATCTTCCCCTGAACTACGGAAAATATTTTTTGTAGAAGTAGACGATATTTTGGTTTTTGACAAAATAAAATTTCAAAACTTTATCTCTAATAAACAGTTTCTCCCCGATAGTTTTACCCAGTATAAAAATAAAATCGGACTAGTGGCAGACCGGCAATATCTGGCCAATAGTGGTGAAGTAGTTTTAGTTTGACCCTATAAAGATTGTATTTTGGAAGGAGGGCAGACCCAAGAGGATGCCAAAAGTCGCGAAATTTTTTGAAATGAAATAATCCTAGCACCGGACGAAATTGACCGCTTACTAACTCCCAAAGTTTTAACTAATTTTCAAAAATATAACTGCGGCAAAGAAGTAGAAATGACCGATATTTCCCTTAACGATAACCTAATTATTAAAGGTAATAATCTTCTCTCTTTGTATAGTCTAAAAGAAAAATATCAAGGTAAAATCAAACTAATTTATATTGATCCTCCTTATAATCCGGACAGTAAGTCAAATACTTTTTTATATAACAATAGTTTTAATGAGTCGACTTGATTAACTTTTATGAAAAATCGGTTGGAAGTAGCCAAAAAATTATTAAGTCCTGGCGGTTGTTTGATTGTGGCTATTGACAAAAACGAGCAGGCCGAATTAACTGTTTTACTGAAAGAATTATTTCGTGGTTATGAGATTCATGTTATCACTATCGTTCACAACCCAAGAGGAGTCCAAGGAACTAATTTTTCTTACACCCATGAATACGCTATTTTTGTTATTCCACAAGGCAAAAAAACAATAGGATGAAAAAAAATTGATTCAGAAAATATTGATTGAAAAATCCTTCGCAATTGAGGCGGAGAAAGTTTGAGAACCGATGCTAAAAATTGTTTTTATCCAATAATCATTGAGAACAAGAAAATAATTGGTTTTGGAGATGTCTCAGATGAAGATTATCATCCGGAAAGTCAGACTGCTGAGAAAGAAGCTTAACCCAAAATTTAAACTTCGACCTTATCAAGATATATTCAAGAATTAAATTCAGTTTTGGTAAAAACCGGAATTATCCCCGATAATACAATTAAAAGAAAACTTATTGTTAAGAATGAATTTAAAAATACTGAATTCTTTAATTCTGGTCTTTTATTTCTCAATCGGCAAGAAAAGTATCCCCGCGATGACGTTTTTGAACTACCATCTTCAATAAGAGATTTTCCTTATAAAGTATCTCTTCGAACCAATATTAACCTTTCCCGAGGGCTTTTTGAAAGTCAATTTAAAGAAAGTATTGAAATCCAAGAAAAAGACTTTTGGATAAAAAATTTGAAATCGCAAATTGTAAAAAAAGCCATTTATAAGTTTGATTTTTATTCATTATTCTAACCTAAAAAAATGGTTTCCTAATCTTGATAAGTTGGATGAGTTTATTGTAAAAGATGAATATTTAGGAGGGATTAAAATAACTGTTTCCGGTCTTGCTTCTCAACTTGAAGAATTAAGCCCTGACAATGAGTTTGACATTTTAGTAAAAGTTATCGGACAAATCGCTTCTAGTTTAACTTCTGGTAATCCTGATTTTAGAGGAAGCAAGGAATTTAAATACATTCTATTAAAGGAAAAAATTGGCGACAAAGAACTTAATTTTGCTCCAAGTGAAAGTTGAGATAAAGAATTGGGAAAATCAATGAACAATGTTCAGGAGACTAAAATTCCTTTAGACCTTAGTAACCAGTCCTGGCACGTCTTTAATGATTGTTTTGGAACTTCAGAAGAAAAATATTTTGTTAAATACATAGACAAAATGTATAATAAACTTAAAGAAAAATATGATGAAATTTATTTGATTCGTAACGAAAGATTCTTTAAAATTTACAATTTTGAAGATGGAAGACCTCTGGAACCCGATTATGTATTATTTTTGAAACAAAAAAAAATCATCGCAAGTTCTCTATTACCAAGTATTTATTGAACCAAAAGGCAGTCATTTTGAAGAGAAAGATGCTTGGAAGCAAAATTTTCTCCTCTCCCTTAAAAAAGAATGTCAAGTCGAAAAATTATGGGAGGATAAAAAGTATCGGGTTTGAGGTATGCCGTTTTATAATAAAGCCAAAGAGGTTGATTTTGACAAAAATTTTAATAAGGAAATGTTTTAATAGAAGCTTGAGTTTTGGAATCAAGTTTTATTTTTACTCAAAACTTTATACTTTAGCAAATATATCCAGTTAACTTTTAAGCGAAAATCCAGTAGAACTAAATTTTATAGTCTAAAATAAATATATCACGATATGAAAAACGCTCAAGAGTGGCTAAACGAAACCTATCCTACTAAAAATCAAAGAGAAAGGGTAAGGAAAATTTTCATAGATAAAAGAGAAGAAGAATCTTTTCCTAAATTACAACTATTTTCTGATAATTCTGAGGAAAACCATTACCTCGATATAAAACT